AACCGAGGGAGACGTAGTCAACTGAGGGGGGGTCCCAGCCAGGGGTGTCACCGTGTCCAGTGTGAAGAGACCGGACACCGGGTCCCCGGGGAACGTGGACAGGGGGCCACCAGTGGCGGCCTCGGTACAGACTGCTTACCGCTCGTGTCAAGGGAATGTAGTGGTGATGCCAAGGTCCTGAAGGCAGCCGAAACCCACTAGGTTCCTGGAGAACGAGGGGATGTGCAGTCCTGTGAGCGAGCCCGAAGGAACCGCCGGGCAGGGGAGGGTGGTGGAACTGCGGGCGACTACTGGGCCGGAGAAGGGGTCAGCAAGAGAGACTGCGGGAGGGACAGGAAGCGGTGTCAACATGGTGGAGTCACGGAAGAAGCACCGGGAAGCGCTAGAGTCGAGGGTGAAGGAGAGCGCGGCAGTGGCGGCCGAAGGCGAAGCAGCGACGAAAGCACCAAGGCTAAACAAAGTAGGGGATCCTATGCCTAACGCAGCAGGGGAGTCTAAGCAAGGCACACCTACACTAGGCAACAAGGGGTAATAAGATGGAAGCACACTAGAGGCATCAGCATACATTACAAGCAGAGTAGTAACAATCTCATCCATGTCCAGATCAAAAATCTGAACCCTACGACGAAGCAAACTGTGCCAGTCTGGGAGCTCGGGCGATGGGCCGAAACGCTGATGAAATAGGTCGTCCAAGCGACGGAAACAGCGGACTGAGATGTGACCGATCTTACCGCAAACGAATCCACGGCGAGGACCGGTCAGGAGGAGGTACTGACAGCGCGCGGCATCCGAACCACCACCCAGCAGCCCACCACGCGCACCACCACCACGTCCAGCGCGACCACCAGCACCAGGCCACCTGGGCGGGAGACCACTCGCCCGTCTCTGCTGCGGCTGCGACTGCTGCAGCTTTTGCGTCTGCTTCAACTGCTGCGAGTGCTGCGGCTGCTGAGGCTGACGTGAGTCCGGCTGCAACGCCGGCGGCTGCTGAGACGGCTATTCGGCTGCACCTGGCAGGGTCCCCTCGTCCGCACCACCACCAGGAGACCCAGCTCCACCACCACCTACACCTGCACCCCCACCCCCGCCGCCACGCCCAGCCTTGGGGCGGCGATGTTATAAGCACAATAGGCTTAGATGTGCCTATAATGAGAGATAGAGAGCATAGTTGGATTTCCGTCAGACGGCTTCAAATATTGATAACGATCTGGTCGCTGAATCAAACTGCAATCTGTAAGTTGGATCTGGAGCGCGTTGCTGTAGCCTATCAGCAGCAAGTTGAATCATGAAATTCCATGAAGAGTTGACGAAGCTATGGCGGTTTGACTGGCAAGAGGTATAGCAGCCACTATAGTCTTAGGAGTACAAACTTAGAAAGAAGAGTTCGAGAGGGAGATGGTTCCCAGCCTCTACATACCCCAAGAGCCGAGGTCCAGGTTGGTGGTACACCACCACAGAGTCCCCAACCATGAAGAGTCTCGAAACCAACCCTCCAAGGGGCTACACCAAGTGAAATGTAACACTACACGAAGTAACGTTACTATTTTCACTATTTAAAATTTATCCGCATCCCTTGGGCTTGAAATCTTGAGCTCTTGTTCTTGGATCTGCAAGATAAATTCTTCTTGAGTTGATGGGTGCTTGCTGCACACACCTGCGACACGATGGACACTTCACACTCTCAGCCACAGCAACAGAACTGTCAGAGAAGGTGCACTGAGCGGGGGCGCAACCCTGAAAGATAGGGACCGGCGCAGTACCGCAAGTCTGAGCGATAGAGCGGTGGCGGCTGGAGGGCTAGAAGATGTGTGGAAGTGCAGGCAGCACGCCAGGTCTCGTCTATAGTGCGCAGGTGAGCGGCCAGGACGGCGACACTGGGGAACGACGCAAGGTCAGGGAAGAGCATGGGGAGGATAAGACGACCGATCGAGGCAGCACGCGGGGTGGAATAGCGCTGGACAGGAGCATTTAGGAAAGCCTAGGCAGTGGTGATAGACCTGAAGCGCGGTCGCTCGGACAGGGGGAGGGCATTGCTAATGGCAAGCTGTGCGACAGCGTCACCGGACAGCCAGACAGAGCGAGCAAGAGCAGCGGCCGCAGCGGACTCACGCTCAGCGGACGAGGGATCAGTAGACAATGCAGCGGGGGGGTCAGGGCAGGGGAGAGTACCGTCAAGATGGACAGACAGAGAGTGGCCATTCTGCCGCTGACCAATGAGGTGGCGACGAAGACAACAAGCCACGCATCAAACTCAATCGGCTAGCCTTCAGCGTCAAAGCGAAGCACCTCCGCCATTAGTGACAATAGAGGGCAGTGGAGAGCAGTACAGTGCGATGAAGTGCGGCGCAGTGTGGTACAGTGCGGTGCGGTGCAATGCAGTGCGGTACAGTGCGGTGCAGTGTGGTACAGTGCGGTGTAGTGCGGTACAGTACGGTGCAAGGCGGCCTAGTACGGTACCGGGGGGGTTCGCAGGCAACGGCGGCAACGGGGGCCGGCGAGGAGCTGGCGGGACGGCGAGTAGGGCCAGCCACGACGACGAGGAGACACGGCCACGACGGCGGCCAGGGACAACCGCGACGGCGGCTAGGGGCGGCTGCGACGGCAGGAGTGACCGTAAGGCGGCTGGAGACGGCAGTGATAGCAGCAAGGGGCGGCCGCGACGGCAAGGGGGGGGCCAGCTAGGGACGGGTGCGATGGCCAGAGGGCCGGCTAGGGGCGGACGCGACGGCTAGGGGGCCGGCTAGGGGCGAATGCGACGGCCAGGGGGCCGGCTAGGGACGAGCGCGATGGCCAGGGGGCCGGCTAGGGACGAGCGCGACGGCCAGGGGGCCGGCTAGGGGCAGACGCGACGGCCAGGGGGCCGGCTAGGGGCAGACGCGACGGCAAGGGGGCCAGCTAGGAGCGGGCGCGACGGCCAGGGGGCCGTTTAGGGGCGGACGCGACGGCCAGGGGGCCGGCTAGGGACGGACGCGACGGCCAGGGGGCCGGCTAGGGGCGGACGCGACGGCCAGGGGGCCGGCTAGGGGCGGACGAGATGGCCAGGGGGCCGGCTAGGGGCAGACGCGACGGCCAGGGGGCCGGCTAGGGACGAGCGCGACGGCCAAGGGGCCGGCTAGGGACGGACGCGACGGCCAGAGGGCCGGCTAGGGACGAGCGCGACGGCCAGGAGGGCCGGCTAGGAGCGGGGCACGACGGTGGCTAGGGCCTAGGGGGCGGAAGCGTGGGCGGGCTAGGAGGGGAACCTAACCTACTATGATACCATATTAGAAAGAATAAATTGAACTAGAATGTGTGAGTACAAGGGTATATAGACTAGGGTGTTGTACCCTCTAAGGCACAATCCAGTATAGTCTACAGTAACGACCTAAGTTACATTTGACAAAAACCACCCTGTACCCTCCGTTCTAATTCATTCTGCTACTCTAAGACAACGACTGTTGCACTCCGTACCTCTCGTCATAAGCTGGGACTCGACAAGGGTTACGGCCAGGGCTGATTTTATCAGACTATTTTAGTCTGATTGTCTGAAATTTCAGACCTATTTTTTTGCCGATCCTGATTTTTCAGACTTGCCAATTTCCTAATGCTGAACCCTTCAGAGTTATATGTTTTTGAATCCTGAGAATCTCAGACTTGGCAGCTTGTGGAAACTGAGTTTTCAGAGCACAGCGCGTACGGACCCTGAGACAGACATACCTACCTGCCCTCACCCAAAAAATTTCGTCCAAATCCCCAACGGCCAGAGTCAAGTCTTTTCACACACCCCGCCCCGCAACCTATAAAATCTGGCTAAGTCCTAGCAGCCAGAGACAGCTCCCCCCAGCACAACCAGCAGCGCGTAAAAATTGTTGAAGTCCTGTTCTATAGACAGCCCTCTCACACCCCCAACACCCACAAAAGACTAACTATGTGACTGAGACTGACATACTGACAACTTAAAAAATTCGACTAAGTTCCCAGCCACCAGAGTCAAGTCCTCTCACACACCCAACAACCTATAAATTTCGGCCAGAGACAGTTCCCCCGCACACCCAGCAACCCATAAAATTTGTTGAAGTCCTGCTCTAGAGGCACCCCTCTCACACCCCCACCTACCCACAAAAATCGGCTAAGTCTTCCATTTTTTGGGACATTCTTTCCACAGCCCTTTCGCCTTTATTTTTTCTTTTCGACGTTCTCTCAGGGACTGACACAAGTCCCTCGACAACCAATCACACACTTGCAAGGACAGCTTGTAGACAGACTTTTGATTCGACGTGCATCACGGCGTGTGTCTACGTGACATAAGGAACACGCTAACTCGTGTCAATTCGTAATTGACTGGCGAATCTGACGGGCAAAATCTTGAATGAAGCGAAGTTGCCCGACAATGTGTCGCGTAAGAACACGCCTTCACAATGTCGGCTTTGCGACACGTCACAACAAGCTCGGCCTCGGCATTTGCAGAACGCGAGTGCTTCGGAATATGTGCGTTAATATCCCACGAATTTATGAAATTTATGGGGGAAATTAACCAGCCCCCACGAAGTTTTGCACTTCATCATACTTGCATACTCGGAAGTGGAGAACTTCGTGGGGGAACTTGAACTTGGGGGATTGAACAGGTGTCGGGTTCCCACCCAGAGCCACATTAGATAAGGGGCCACGTGTGTGTGTACCGACTCCGTCAATCTACGTAATCATTTACGGCCCTTATTTTTCCGTCAACTTAGACGCGTCGACTCTGATTCGACATTTTGAACCCTGGGTATTTCAGACTAGTCAACTTTTGGATACTGAGATTTCGGAGTAGGCAAAATTTGGAAAATGGTCCTTCAGACTTGCGGAATTTTTTTTGGGGTAAAATCAGAGTGCCTTTTTTTCAAAACGTCAGCCTTGGTTACGGCTCGAGTGTCACTTTCAGGAATGCAACAATTTTGTTATCGTAACATTACCACAATAACTAGTTTCAAATTTCAAGGTAGTTTTTGCGAAGTTCACTTCCACTCAGGAAATGGAGTTAAGTCTAGTGCCGCACTATCCAAGCTGTGCCCTATATGGTAACAAACAAACGGCTATTGCACTAATTAGTTTGGGAATCTCAGTGAGCTGAGCACGCCCTGATGTGCTATTGATGGGAAGTGCAATTGTAGCACAAGTTGTATTCTCTTGTTTACAAAACTACAAACAATGCCTGTATTCTCTTGACATGTTTGCTTGTAATCCACGCCCTTCTTTCCCTTGCTGCTCTTCCCTACTGGCGCACTTAAAAAAAAAAATAAAAAAAATCAGGAACCTCACTTTCAAACCTCTCTTTCCCTGCAATCAGCGATCACCACTGCCACCCACACAAAATCTTCCCCCCCTACCATCACACAAACCCCCACCCCCCACCCCACCCCCTCTCTCTCTCACTGCATCGGGTCATACCCCTGTTTCTTGAGCTCCCTCTCGGCCTCTCTCCTCATGCGCAGCCACAGCCGCAGCGCCTCGCGCTTCACCCTCTGCACTTCCACGGCCCTCCGCCCCTCCAGGTCCGGCCCAGTGCTGCCTGCAGACGACGACTGGCGGAAGCGCGCTGGCACCACCGTGGTCGCCACGCCGCCGCGCTCAAAGTACCGGTCCACTGCGTGTGGGTCGCCTACTGCCCTGTCCCCTGGGAAGGGCGTGGGGCCTCTCTCATATAAGTGAGCCATGGCCTTCTCTTCCTGTGGGATTGGTTGGGTGAAGGGGAGGAAAGGAAGAGCGGGGGAAACGATAGGATGGATGTACATAGGGTACAAGGTGGAAAGTGAGTGGATGGACATTGGGGGGGGGGGGGAGGTGGTGATAGGGTACAAGGTGAGTGGATGGAGGGGGAAAATGGGATATGGCGATTGTAGGGGATCTTTACAAAGGAATCGGGATAGGAAGAGGTGAGCAGTGCTGAAGGAATCAATTTTGTCATTTGCAATGCATGATTGGAGGATACAGGGTGAATCTCACATGGTCCAACAAGGACGGACGGAGCATCAGCTTCAGACACATCAATGACGGCATGTTTGTGAGAGATGGTATTCGTGTATATCACCAACGTCACCAACATGGCATGGATAAGACAACCATCAGCCAGGCAGCCCACCTTGGGGCGAGGCTTGAACGTCCACCAGCCCAGAGGCGAGTACTTGTCAAACAGGTACAGCGCGCCTATGAGCGCCCATGTCTTGCCCAGCGCGCCAAAGAACCGACCCACCGTCACAGGCTCGGCCATGCCGAAACTAGACACTCAGGCTCAAGTGCGTGGTCGGCTACAGTCCCATTGCCATGGGGAGCTCTACGTTGTGGAAGGTAGGGGAGAGGAAGACACGCAATAGCGGGAGACAGGGTGAGAGGGGGCAAGCGGGTGAAGGGGCAACGGAATGGAAGAGGAGGCAAGGCGGGGAGGAGCGAGTGGGGGCAGGGGCGGGCAGGAAGCGGGGCGTTTGCCCTGATATGAGGCTTCTCGTAGCACGCGCGCGCGGCGACGGGAGAGGACGAGATGGGGAAGGCAGGAGGGGAGAGCGCAGAGGAGCCGGAAGGGTGATTTTCACAACATGCGCACCTATGCACCTCAGACCGCAGGACAGCATAACGCCCCTCACAGCACCCCTATCGACGGAGAGGCGAGGAGGGTGGGGAGGCGCGAGTGCGTGGAGCGACGGGCGACACGATGACGAGAGAAAGGCGAGCGGAGGGCCGAAGGGATCGTGGTGGGGAATGACACAAGCAGCGGAAGGATCCACGAGAATCCAAGATGTGGCGTAAAGAGGAACCATGGGGAGGGGTGGAGTGGCTTGGGAACGATAGTGAAAGGAATTTCCCTTCCTTACTGAGTTGCCCGCTACCGCGTACACCCGAACACCTCGACTCATCACGTTCTGCCTACAATTTCGGCCCAACCCTTTCTCGAGTCGCGCTCGACAGCGTCACCACAATTGCCGAACCTACCCACGTCCCGAGGTTATCGCCCTATTACGTCCACTCCTATATAACCTTGTGCTTTCATGGCAATAGGGACGTTGTATTCCCACTATAGTACTTTGACATTTCCTAAATCATAACAACTGGTATCAGAGCCCGATCTTTCTCGGAACCTTCCGTTTTCCCCGTTAGTTAGTTAAGGGTGGTCAAAGGGGATTAACACGGCTGCACAGCAGTTGCCTTTGATCGTAAATATTTTTACGTCAACAACTACAGCGTGTGCACTAGTTTCTGCCCCGTCCTGACCGCCATGGCCCCGGTAGACTCAACGGTTGAGGAACAGACAACCTCGACTGCTGCGAACTCTGCCCGGGAAACAGTAGACCTGCAAGCATTAATGGAGCAGTTGAATAATTTGACAAGCGTCGTCAACAACCTCCGTGACGAAAACCAACGACTTTGCCAGGCGCAGGAAAGGCGTTCAGAGGAGCCGGGCGACGATGCACGAAGCGAGGCGGGTGAGCAGCAACCGACACCAGTGGAGCTGGCACGGCAAGCGGCGACAGCCCCGCGCTCGACAAGTGGCGGCGTGAGATATCAGCAACCCGCTCCTTTCGACCCAGCTAATAAAGGCGTGACGGTGCGGCAGTGGATATTCGCCATGAATATCTATTTTAACGCGGCGGGCATCCGAGACGACCAGAAGCGGATTAGCCACGCGTTGACACTGCTGCAAGGGGCAGCCCTACAGTGGTGGAAGGTCATCATCGATTCAGCGGCAACTCGCACAGAAGGACAGCATGAGTGGTCCGAAGAATTCGGCGACGAAGACGAGGCAGATTTGCTGTTTGGTGCAACTCACATTCGCACGTGGGCAACGTGGTGCGCAGAGCTTCGCAAACGGTTTGAGCATGCTCCTGACTCAGACAAAGCGTGCGAGACTCTACGCATGTGGAAGCAGCTGGGATCTGTGTCCGACTACACCGCGTCATTCTTGACGTTGGTGGATCGATGTGGCTACATGCACGAGTTGGAGAAGGTCGACAGGTACATGGGCGGACTAAAGCCTGAAATACAGTACCAGATAAAATTACAACGACCTGCGAAACGGTTACAAGACTTCATCCAACTCGCCGAAGCCGCTGATTCGCTCACGAAGCCGAGGACGAACTTCTACGACGGAGGTCGCCCTCGAGAACAGTACCAGCGCACCACGATAAAAGGGATGGACGCAGTGGACATTTACGCAGTTGCTCCGCGAAATACAGGGCTATGCTACCATTGTGGCCGACTGGGTCACATCAAACGCAACTGCCAAGAGTTCATAGCCACCCAGAATTCTATGGGGAAGAAGCCGGAGGAGCGACCGGGAAATGGGTCGCGTCAGTAAGTACCGGGCCCCTTACTGACGGGCTGGCTTCCTCGCCCGAACCACACAGTCCCCACCGGGTCGTGATCCCGATTGCTGCAATCGACCGGACCCGGACGAATAAGGGGGACGAAACTGCTGATCACCCTGTGTTGGTGGAGGGTAAAGTCAACGGGGTGTTGCTGAAAATATTCGTGGATGGAGGCGCGAGTCACAGTCTCATACAGCTAGACAGGGCTAAGAAAATGGGTATCCCTTTATTAAAGTGTCTACCCGAAATCGACGCACGACTGGTGGATGGTACACCGTTGGCTATACGGGAGCGGGTGGAACACGTCAGTTTCCACTGCGGCGAGCACGTAAAATTTCGGATAGGGCTGCTGGCGACTACACTCGACGGGTGCGACATGCTGGTGGGAAGGGATTGGCTGCGACAGTACAACCCGAGAATTGACTGGACGACGGGCAGCTGCAGCATCAAGATCGATGGGCACTATCGCGAGTTACCGAAATGGGCGGGACCCCGCATGCGAAGTACCCAAGTCCACGCGATCACCTTCAAGCGCGCGATAAAAGCGGGAGCAGCAGCATACGCCGTCGATCTACGCGAAGTGACGTCGCCGATAACAGCGGAAGACATCACGAAGCTGTATGAAGCCGTTCCTCCGGATTTAGCGGAACTCATTCGAAAATACCCCGAGATTTTCCCGGACGACCTACCCGCCGGACTTCCGCCAAGTCGACCCGAAGACCATCGCATCGTGCTGGAACCTGGTGCACAACCGACAGTACAGCGCCAATTTCGGCTCAGCCAACCGGAACTAGAGGAATTGCAGCAGCAGCTGGATTACCTCCTGACGAAAGGTTTTATCCGCCCAAGCACATCCCCATACGCCACCCCCATACTGTTCACACCGAAAAAAGATGGCGGATTCCGTATGTGCATCGACTACCGCGCACTGAACCGCATCACCATCAAGTCTCGTTACCCGATCCCGCGAGCCGACGACCTACTCGACCAACTTCGCGGAGCCAAGTTCTTCTCGAAAATCGATCTGCGAGGAGGTTACCACCAAATTCCCGTCGCCGCCGAGGATTGTCACAAGACCGCCTTCCGCACCCGCTACGGCAGTTACGAATACTTGGTGATGCCTTTTGGGCTCACGAACGCGCCCTCGACTTTTCAGATGACCATGAACGGTGTTTTCCGCGAACTCCTGGATAAATGCGTAATTATCTACCTCGACGACATCCTAATCTACAGCCGCAGCAGGGAGCAGCACTTAAAGGATCTTGATGCAGTCTTCACGCTGCTGCACAAGAATCGCCTCATCACAAAAGGGTCTAAGTGTGACTTTCTTAAGCAGGAGTTGGAGTTTTTGGGTCACGTCGTCTCTACCGAAGGCGTGAAAATCGACCCCAGGAAAATCAAGACCATACAGAAATGGAAGCCGCCGACCAACCTCAAGGAACTCCAAAGTTTTCTGGGTTTTGTCAACTACGTCCGCCGCTTTATCCCCAATATGGCTGGGATATCTGCACCGCTAACCGACCGATTGAAGGATCACGATTGTTTTTGGTGGGGAGAGAAGCAGCAAGCTGCATTCGACCAGCTCAAAATCGCCCTCACGTCGCCGCCCGTCCTTCGCATATCCGATCCCAACCGTCCCTACAAAGTCATCACCGACGCCAGCGACATCGCCATCGGCGCAGTTCTCCTCCAGGACTTCGGCGACGGGCTGCAACCAGTCGCCTACGAATCACGGAAGCTGCAAGGCGCAGAGAAGAACTATACAGTGCACGACAAGGAAATGCTGGCAATCGTCCATGCGTTCAAGACTTGGCGGTGCTACCTGACCGGAGCTGACGTCACGGTGCGAACGGACCACAAATCCTTACAGTACCTGCGCGCCCAACCGAATCTCAATCCACGACAGATCCGATGGCTCGATTTCCTCGAGTCCAACTTCCACTACACCATCACCTACAAACGGGGTGCCAATAATATCGCCGATGCCTTGACCCGCCCTACTGTCCATACCGCCGCGATACTAATCGCCCAGACCAACCCATTACTTACGGGACTATTCACCCACGGCTACAAGATCGATCCCTTTTTCCTCTCAACCATCCATCAACAGCATACCACAGCCACCGGGCCATATTTTTATAAGCGTGGTACTTCTCGCATTTGGGTACCAGGCTACGATTTACTTCGTACCCTCCTAATCCAGGAATCCCATGACAACCCTACCTCATGACACTTCGGCGTCGATAAAACCACGAAGATGTTGCAGCGGAATTACTATTGGCCGAACATGGCCGATGACGTGCGCAAGTACGTGTCCTCCTGCACTGCCTGCCAGATCATGAAATCGTCGCATCAGCGAGCAGCCGGACTACTACAGCCGTTGGATCCACCCGAGCGACCCTGGCAACACGTCACGATGGACTACGTGACAGGACTGCCGGCCAGCCCCAGCGAAAACGACGCCATCCTCGTGGTCGTTGACCGACTCACAAAAATGGCGCACTTCATCGCCTGCCAACAGACAATCACCGCCGAACAAACTGCGCAGCTGTTCATCACGAACGTCATCCGCCTGCACGGCCTGCCCTCCGCCATCATTTCAGACCGAGACCCCAAATTCACCTCGAATTTCTGGCGCCACCTGTGGGACCAATTCGGCACCAAACTCCAATTTTCATCCGCCTACCACCCACAAACCGACGGGCAGACCGAACGCGTTAACCAAACCATGGAGCAGCTCATTCGCACCACCTGTACTGACCCATCGACATGGGAGAAATCCCTACCGCTACTCGAATTCGCGTATAATAACGCGACCTCAGCTACAACCCATCACTCCCCATTTTTCCTCAACTACGGACAGGACCCGGTAGTACCCTCTACACCGAACATCGAGTCACCAGTGCCCCGGTCCCAGAAATTTGCTGAAGACATTCTCGCCACTCGCGAAAAAGCAGCTGAGGCCATCCGGAAAGCTAACCTAGTCGCAAGCCGACAAGCCGATCGACATCGACGCGACGTCACTTACAAAGCGGGAGATCTTGTCCTTCTCGACACTCGCAATTTGCGGCTGCCGATCCCAACTCTGGGAATAATACAAATATAGGAACTCTGTCCTGCATGTCACACTAATCTATTCTCTCAGTTTAACATGGTACCGTATCATCGCTAGATTAAGTCCTAGCCTCCGCGCTTCCGCCCTAGGTACTCCCTGCTCCCATATCGCCCTAGCTTGTCCCCCTAGCCTATGCCCTAGCCTATGCCCTAGCCCTAGCCCTAGCTCGTTGCTCGCGCTGGCCGCTGCCGCTGCCCGCTGTTCGCGCTGCCCGCAGCCACTGGCCGCTTGCCCGCCCCCCCCCCCCTCCCACCCCAACCCCCGCCCGCTGCTCGCACTGCCCGCAACTGCCCGCTGCTCGCACTGCCCGCAACTGCCCGCTGCTCGCGCTACCCA